AGTGCAGCAGCACACATCACTGACTGTGTACATCAACAGCTACTGCGCACTCCTGAGGCCCCGATTTTTATTTTAGGAGATTTTAATCACTGTAAACTGGAACTGTCACTACCAGGTTTTCAATAATACGTTAAATGTGGCACGAGAGAGGGCAGAATCCTTGATAAGTGCCTTTGTAATGTGAAAAATGCCTACGTGAGTAGGGCTAAACCCCCGCTGTCAAACTCGGACCATAACGTAGTCCATCTCATCCCCACTTACAGTACTGTTCTCAAGAGCAGTAAACCATACACCAAGCCTATAAAGGTCTGGACTAGCAACAGCATTGAGTCCCTGAAAGGTTGCTTTCTCTCAGCAGAATGGAGCATCTTTACAAACTGGACGTAGATAAAGTAGACTGTTACGGATTACATAAATTTCTGTGTGGACAATGTACAAAATACCTCAGAAAGAGATAACTGTATATCCTAACAACAAACCATACATAACTAAGGAAGTTAAAGACTGTATCCACCGTAAGAAATTGGAATTTCAATTTCAAATTGGAATAGGACACAATGAAGGTAATTACTAATATGACACCAGCTCAAAAATGCATCAGTAGCTCCGATGACGTGCAAATGAATGACTTCTATCTGAGATTTCAATCTCTTTTCCTCTGAATGGAAGAATGTTTTAGAGACAATCTCTGTCACAGAACAGGACGCAAGGCTGGATATATAACCTCAGGAGGTCGGACTGCTTTTTAAAGACTTGTGTACTAAGAAGGCCACTGGGCCAGATGGAATCTCTGCAATTCTGCTATGGCGCTGACACCTGCATGGTGCCCATCTTTCAAAAAGTAGACTCACACACCATCCCCGCCTTGTGGAAGTATTCAGTAATTACACCTGTACCTAAAAAACCTTGACCAAAAGTGCATAATGATTTCAGGCCTGTGGCACTGATATCCATTGTCATGAAATGTCTTGAGAGGATAATGGTGTCATTTCTTAAGCAAGAGGTTGGTGTGTTTTTAGACCCTTTTCAGTTTGCCTATAGGCAGGGGTGTGGCACAGATGACGCAGATGACATATTACCTGTGGTCAGTAAACACCTTGAGGACCCCAAGGCTTATGCAACCATTTTGTTTGTTAGTTCACCTTTTAACACTCTGCAGCCTCACATGCTCATCCAGAAACTGAAACACATGTCTACTCTTTTATTCTCAACTGGTATTTTACTTTTTTTACAAACCGTACTCAACAGAGTGAATAATGCTCTCATGGAGCCCAGGCCAATCAGCACTGGTGCCCCTCAAGGCCGTGTCAGCTCTCCAGTCCTCTTAACACTGTATATTAATGACTGCACTAGACTCCGCACTGACAATTATTAAATTGTCAGACAATACAGCAATCCTCAGCCTTATGCACAAAGATAGAAGCCCAGCAGCGTGTCATACAGAAATTGGGGAGTTTGTCCAGTGGTGTGACGACAACCATCTTGTGCTTAATGTGACCAAGACTGAGGAGATGGTGTTTGACCCAAAGGCCATAGGTGACACCAGGCCTGTAGTGATCAACGACTTACCCATTACTCAGGTTAACTCTTACAAGCACCTTGGTGTACATATCGATAATGCACTTAGCTGGAAGGACCACGAAAATACTCTCTGCTCCAGACTTCAACAGAGGATGCATTTTTTACAAAGACGTAGAGTGTATGGAGTCGACCAGAAATCATTCAATACTAGAGAGTATTCTAAGATATGGTATAACAGTAACAGCCTGGTATGGTAACCTGACAGTACAGTCCAAATCACAGATCGCCCATCTGGTACAGACAGCTATGAAGATTATGGGGGTCAAAAACCATCCGCCCCTCCAGACAATTTATGAGCAATCGGTTATCACAGGCAAAAAAAAAGTCTCCGATCTGACCCACATACTTCACCCAGAATTTTAGCTTTTACCCTCTGGTAGAAGATTCAGGGTTCCTAAATGTAGGCTAAACCGATATTCAGGTGCTGGTCATATAATTAGAATATCATCAAAAAGTTATTTATTTCAGTATTTCCATTCAAAAAGTGAAACTTGGATATTATATTCATTCATTACACACGGACTGATATATTTCAAATATTTATTTCATTTAATTGTGATGATTAAAACTGACAACTAATGAAAATCTCAAATTCAGTATCTCTGAAAATTAGAATGTTAAGACCAATACAAAAACAGGATTTTTAGAAATGTTGGCCAACTGAAAAGTATGAGCATGTACAGCACTCATTACTTAGTTGGGGCTCCTTTTGCCTGAATTACTGCAGTAATGCGGCGTGGCATGGAGTCGATCAGTCTGTGGCACTGCTCAGGTGTTATGAGAGCCCAGGTTACTCTGATAGTGGCCTTCAGCTCTTCTGCATAGTTGTGTCTGGCGTATCACATCTTCCTCTTCACAATACCCCATAGATTTTCTATAGGGTTAAGGTCAGGCGAGTTTGCTGGTCAATTAAGAACAGGGATACCATAGTCCTTAAACCAGGTACTGGTAGCTTTGGCACTGTGTGCAGGTGCCAAGTCCTGAAATCTGCATCTCCATAAAGTTGGTCAGCAGCAGGAAGCATGAAGTGCTCTAAAACTTCCTGGTAGACGGCTGCGTTGACCTTGGACCTCAGAAAACACAGTGGACCAACACCAGCAGATGACATGGCACCCCAAACCATCACTGACTGTGGAAACTTTACACTGGACTTCAAGCAACGTGGATTCTGTGCCTCTCTTCTCTTCCTCCAGACTCTGGGACCTTGATTTCCAAAGGAAATGCAAAATTTATTTTCATCAGAGAACATAACTTTGGACCACTCAGCAGCAGTCCAGTCCTTTTTGTCTTTAGCCCAGGCGAGACACTTCTGACGCTGTGTCTTGTTCAAGAGTGGCTTGACACAAGGAATGCGACAGCTGAAACCCATGTCTTGCATACGTCTGTGCGTGGTGGTTCTTGAAGTACTGACTCCAGCTGCAGTCCACTCTTTGTGAATCTCCCCCACATTTTTGAATGGGTTTTGTTTCACAATCCTCTCCAGGGTGCGGTTATCCCTATTGCTTGTACACTTTTTCTACCACATCTTTTCCTTCACTTCGCCTCTCTATTAATGTGCTTGGACACAGAGCTCTGTGAACAGCCAGCCTCTTTAGCAATGACCTTTTGTGTCTTGCCCTCCTTGTGCAAGATGTCAATGGTCGTCTTTTGGACAGCTGTCAAGTCAGCAGTCTTCCCCATGATTGTGTAGCCTACAGAACTAGACTGAGAGACCATTTAAAAGCCTTTACAGGTGTTTTGAGTTAATTAGCTGATTAGAGTGTGGCACCAGGTGTCTTCAATATTGAACCTTTTCACAATATTCAAATTTTCTGAGATACTGATTTTGGGGTTTTCATTAGTTGTCAGTTATAATCATCAAAATTAAAAGGAATGAACACTTGAAATATATCAGTCCGTGTGGAATGAATGTATACATTATACAAGTTTCACTTTTTGAATGGAATTACTGAAATAAATCAACTTTTTGATGATATTCTAATTATATGACCAGCACCTGTAAACACTCATTTGTGCCTATGTCCATTAAGCTTATCAACACTAACATGTAGGCTGGCTGGAATGTGCACTATGTCATTGTGCAATAAGTAGGCTATGCAATATGTTAGTGGTGAAACACATGGGCTGTTTGATTGTTCAATATGTCATCATGCATTGCACAGGTTATGTGAAATGTGTGCAATATTTAGGCTACTGGGGTTATGCAATATGTTATTTGTACAATACATAAGCTATTCAATATGCAATATCTCATTGTGCAAGGGTTGTGCTATCTTGCGGGGAATGCAGCCAACAGGGTTGTTCAATCAAAACTGGCATTGGAAGGAGTCAGGGTGCTTCTATATAGGTAACTGTCTAATGGATATGACAGCATGTGTTGTGTTGCATGAGAATGTGTTGAGAGATGCTTTATTTCTGTATTTTGTGTTTTGTAAAGCTGCAGAATGGACAGAGTCCAAAACAAATTTCCCTTCGGGGACAATAAAGTATATCTTATCTTATCTAGAATCAGATTTATGAATCTGTATAACCGCCAGAGGCTATCTTTCATTTGAATGAGAAGAATGTTATTTTAAAAGCTGACTCATGTAAAGATCTTGGCTCTCGGTGATGCACTGTTATTGATACATGCACTTTGCCTGTCATTCTTTCCCTTTCAAATGGCACCAGGGATGTTTTCAGGCCCAACTGATTTACTCATATTCACTCTCAGCAGGACTCTCCTCACATCTGCTGTGGATATTGACAGGGGCCGGTCCTCTGGAGGTGGAGCAGAATTTACAGCTGGCTCCTTGTTGAGGAGATCAAAGCGAGCATAAAATGTGTTTAGCTCATCTGGTAATGTGGCCTGACACATGATGGGGGAGCTCCTGCTTTTGTAGCCTGTGATGTTTTTGATGGCCTGCCATATATCTTTGGTGCTGTTGGTGTTGAGGTCTCTCTCCAGTCTCTGCTGATGTCTCCGCTTTGCCTCCTTGATGCCAGCTTTCAGTCTCGCTCTGGCGGTGGTGTAAGCTTCTTTATCACCCAACAAAAAAAAAGCAGCTTTTTTGGCTCAGGATGGAGCCCTCACCTCTCCGTTCATCCAGGCCTTCTGATTGGGGAATGATTTTATCGTTTCAGTGCAAATGCAAATATTTGCTGGTTTTCTTACCGTTTTATGATTGTATATTGAATATATTTTGATTTTGGAGTGTTGCTAAAACAAATAAAGCAACTGAAAGATGTCTATCTGACAATTGTGAGCATTCTTCACTATTTCTTTGACATTTTATGGACTAAATGATGATCAATTGAAAAAATTACCTGCTGGTTAATCAATGATGAAAATAAACTACAAATAATCCTGTAATCCTTATCTTGTAAAGATCATAGAAAGACATCCACCCTGAAGTGGGAGGATAAAAAGACAACACCTCTCCTGAGCAAAAACCTTTTTTTATTTCTCATTGAAAGGAACTTGGTAAAATATTACAGCAGAACACACGACTGAAACAGCTGCCATTTCACGTAACACAGTACAGGAAGAAGGATGTAGTTCAATCTCATGTGTAATATTATATATAGTATATTTATATCAATAGAAAAGAAAAAAAACTATTGCTCCCAGGTGTTTTTTTTCATATGGCATTTCTGCATTTGTTGTGTTGAAGTGAGTAAAGTAAAATTCAACAAGAGGTTTTACACACCAAAGGAAGTGGGACGATGAAAGTGACATTCCCCAGAGTATGGGAACTTTGTGGCTTCTTTATTAGGCTGAGAAGTAAACTTTAACCTTATTTTTCACCATTGCAATACAGAAATAAAACTTGAAACCTCTCTCAAATATAGATAAATACCATCATACAGCAATCAGAGTATGCAAAAGAAAAGAACACATGGCAGCTCCGTAAGAGCAGGCATGCAAAAACCATCATATTTTTTTAAAAGGAGCACTAATGACGAAATGTTGATGATTGCAGGTGTTTGCGTCGTATGGCAACTGATGGAACGCCAGTTTATGACAAAACATGGTTAAACGGGTGGACTGAAACGAGGGGACAACTCGATGCTATGTAAAGTGAACTGGAGTGCTGAGTGTTTGCTGACAAACTACTTCAATGAAGTTGTGTCTAGAAATTGCTATAACATACTGTGTTATCAATTTGTTGTACTCATCTTAATTTCCTCTAAGGAATAAAAGAAATGTTAGGAAAAAAAGCAGGTATGAAATATCACCCTGGACAATTGCATCCAAGTTTAGTGTTTTAAATAAGCCACTTTAGGCAGCGTTATCTAATAAATGTCTCACATTTCTAAGACATATTCAATATATATTTTTTGAAAAATAATTCTATCTATACTTGTTCTTTTTAGTAAGTAAATCTCTTCCAGTATATATGTTTTCTTCTTTTTTTTGTCCTTTAGGTACCACTGTGGGATTTGTTTTCCAAAAGCACCTAATTTTTCTTACAATCAGACTGAATATTGCTTCAGTCATTAATGGTCTGAGTTCAAGATTAAAGGATTCAAATGACGCACCCGAAATAAGTCAACAAGGTCAATTCCATTGAGACTGCAGCTCAAGCCCGGCAATATTAAGCTTTAATTCGAAAAATAGTGACCAGTGCTATGAGGCCTGAGCTCACTGCGTCCCCTTTGACAAAAAAAGGTCACAGGGGTCAAACGTGGGCCTGCAGCATGTGAGACATCATCAGTTGCCAAAGACGTCTTAACTGCAGCAACTGGCTGACCAGATCTGCATCCAGAACCTCTCGAAGATGATGCACAGGCAGAGGTAATGCTGATAAACCCCCAAAATATGGATTGGCGGACTTTCCAGACCTGAGACAAAACAAGCCACGCGTGAGCAGGCCACACCACATTTCAGCTATTGGTGCAGTTAGCACCTGAGGGATGCCCAGGAGGGAGAGTCGGGGTGGGCAGGTGGGTTTGTGGGGAAGGGAGGAAGAGCAGGAGGAGGTCATTCGGACTCATTTGGATTGTCCCGAGAATCCAAATGAGTCATGTGCTTGTAACAGATCACCTTATGGGACCTCGCTGAGTGGATGTCCTGCGATGCCAAGGATGCCCCCTATAGCTGAGACCGTGGTTCTGGGTGGTGCGGGTCGGTCTGGGTAGGCCGTCCATTACAGGTCATTTTAGACAAAAACACACACGGCCATGGTGAGCGATGCAGGCGCTATGTCTCACTCCCTCTCTGCACCTGCTGGTATGAGTATGTCACACGTTTCACACTTCCTTATTATTAACATCATCATCACACAGACTCTAGGTCAGCGCCAGGTGAGCTATTACTATTGGATATCAACCAGGAAGTGGGACTGCCAGCCTGCTGCTGTGTCTTGAGCACTGTCAAACTTAATTTGCTGGGCTGCATGTGTGAGGTTGTCGAAATAGACAATCAATATATAGATATATTTGTGTGTATATATATATATATATTTCTTTTATCAATGGGGAATCTCATACAGGAGCTGACTACTGCAGTCCTCACTCATATTAGCTATAACATCCACCTAAACTTTAGAACATGATTCTCTTATATAGACAGTAATTTCTCAGTCAAATATACTTTTTATTTTACTCCGTTGTTTTAGCATTTTAAAGTTCGATTCGTCATGCACAAAATAGTCGTTACTCTCTCTCCGTTTCTCTGTTTCCTCGCCAGGCTTTGCATCATGTTGTCAGCTTCAAGTAGCCACCTCTCCATCAATCGTCGTCCACGTCGTCGCCCTCAGACTCCTCTCCGGCTCTCCTCTCGTACATCTTATCCCGGTGCCGCTCCTGGATCTCTTTCATCTCCTCGGCGTAGCGGCTGAACGCCCCCCCGAACTTGCCCCACGCCTTGAAAGGGATTGTTATAGAGTTTCTATAACTGGGCTTCACTTCGCTCACCCGCAAGAAAACTCCGTACTTGTTGGATCCCACGTCAAAGAAGAACCGCTTGGAGTCCACCATGATAGAGGTGCCCTCCGGAAGCTCGCTGTAGCCCCCGGCCCCTCCGCCGCCGGCCAGCTCCTCCTCATCTCCCCCGTAGTCGTCTATCAGTTTGGCCAGGGCGTCGCGGAACTCTATTAAGCCCTGGGCCGGGAGTGCGATGGTCTGTCCGGCCTGCATGCCAGCCCCGGGGATGCCACCCCCTCCGACTCCGAAACCGGGGCCTCGGTTGACGGTCTGTCGGATCCGGAGAAACCGACCCCGCTGGTTCTCCTTCAGGTCGAGGTAGTATTTTCGGTTCTCACGCACCAGGAACTCGCTCTTCAAGGCCCGCCTAGGCCCGGTGTCATCCCCACCGGAAGACTGAGCGATCTGCTCCGGGGTGCTGGGCCCAAGCTGGGCGTAGTGCTCTATGAAATCCCCCAGGTAGTCGCGGAACTCTGCCGCAACTGACATAGAGAGGGTCAGCCGACTTTTAGATCCCCCGGCGCCGACCTCGGCGATTTTGATGAACCGGCCTTTGGCGTTCTGCTTCACATCAAGGTAGAAGCGTTTGTTCTGAATGTCCAGCCGTTTAGAGGCCAGCTCCTGGGTCTCCGAGTCCCGCTGGTAATGCTGAAACCCGCTGCCACCTCCTCCCCCTCCGCCACCGCTGCTGCCACCGCGCTCACTGCCACTGTCCCCATCCGCCATCTTCGCCACCAGCAGCCCGTTTCTCTTCGTATCTTTGACCCCCACCCCCCTTTGCTTACCGAGCTCGCGGAGGAAACCGGACGCTGCCTGATGGGCTCTGATTGGCCGTTACGGCTGTCAGTTACAACATCAGATAGAGCACTTGCGTTTTCACTCGCCAACTGTCCTGCCTGTCATGAAAATATAACCGCCTCCTGGAAGACGTTCGAGTACGCACTGTTTTTACAACCCATAACAGCTCTTCACTCTGGAACTCTTGTTTAGCGGATAACGGCTGTGGTGAATTCACTGTTGCCACAAGCAGTTAGTCCTAATGCAGTTAGTACAAATCAAATTACATTTGAAGTGTCCTTGTACTGAAATACGGGAGTTAAAGCCAACTACGGCCTCCTGGTTATGTATTTGGTACATCTTTTGGGATGGATGCCCCTGGAAGGACAACACACACACACACACACACACACACACACACACACACACACACGGTCCCGCCTACTTGTTGGTTTCGTGCGCAAAGGCAGGCACGATGATCTTAGAGTGGGGGATGGGTGCTTCTTCTGCAAGCCGATTGGCGATTGGTCGAAACAGAGATTCGAAGTAACAACACACGTTCTGATTGGCTATCCAGACTCCCACGAGGGGTCGAATGCAAACGATTTGCGAAAGGGTTTATTGTTTCTTTGCTTTCGGAGCCGAAATTGTTTGCTACCTACTCAGTTCCACAATCAAATAACGAGACGGAAAAATGGTACGTACGACTCGGCTAATGCATTACTGAGGATCTCGGCACATTTGTACTGCAATTAACGTGTAATTGTAGAAAGTGCTGCTTTGAATTCGGAAAGGAGAAATTCGAGCAGAAGGTGTGTGTGGTTAGAAAGCTTGCTAAAGAGCTAACTGTCAGCTAACACGTTAGCATTAACATGAACGCGAGAAGTCCGAGTTTTGTTGCTTTTCCGTTGAAGGTAAAATATATTAGCTGCAATGTGTTTTTTCGGATAGTTCATCTTTTGCAGAAATGGATTGGTTCACTAGAAGCATACACTTGGATTGATAGTAATTTGTTTTTATTCGGTGTAACGTTAGCCTCTCTGAATTGTGGATTAGCAACCATTAGCACGCTAAGTTTAGCTTTTTCATTAGCCCAACGGTTGGTTAACAGTTGACCACAAGTCTTTAATGATAAGTCTGTATCTAAACAAGAAGAATTTGAGCAAAATCGACTGTGTGATTTATAAGCGCCTCGGCGACTCCGTGAGACCAACTTTTTTGTTTTGTGTTGAAATTCGTGAATGAAAACTAACGTTAATCCGTGCTTGACCGTCTTAAAGCGGCGCGTTTGTTTTGTGAAACATCCCGCTGACAGCTTCTCACATATTTGTCAGAATGACTGTTTGTTTCCCCAACTTAACCGGCCTGTTAAAGTAATTTGTACGTTTTTTATGCATGAAATTTCCGGCCACTGTTGGTCGTTACCGCCTTTGATTTATGTTTGATTGGCGGGAACTTAACGTTACTGGTGCCTGGTTGCTGTTAACTTGAAACGTATCGGTACGGTGTTTTTAGTGCTTGCTTTCTTATGTGTCGAATTTTCTAACTGTAACCTAAGATTTGGTTTAGCAAGGGGATCTTATATTCCGATAATTTGGAAATATGATGTGACGTTGTAGTGTGTGCTTTTGTTATACAGGTCTTATTACACAAAATACAAACACCACAGCCTCGTTTTGCTTTTATTAACGTTAGTTGTCTGACATAATTATCTCTATTGTTTCCTGCTGACCATTTCCTGAAATCACCCCATGCAGGCTGGTGGCAAGGCAGGAAAGGACAGCGGCAAAGCCAAGGCAAAAGCAGTGTCGCGCTCCCAGAGGGCTGGGCTCCAGGTAAACCCCTTTCAGTCTTAATGTCGCTGTTTGTGGCTTAACTGCAAATGCCCACCTTGATCACAGCCCTGTTTCTTTTACTCAAACCACCGCCTCTTGTCTGTTTCCTGATAGTTTCCAGTGGGTCGTATCCACAGGCACTTGAAGACTCGCACAACCAGCCACGGTCGTGTAGGAGCCACAGCAGCTGTGTACAGTGCTGCTATCCTTGAGTACCTCACTGCTGAAGTAAGCGTTACCGTTTTTTTCTTTTTGGTGCATGTTTGGTAACAGTGTCACTGGGTGTCATATCAGGCAGTGTTTGTGAGATGGTTCCATTTGTATTAATGCTTGTCTGTAATCATTTTTGTCCTCAGGTACTAGAGTTGGCGGGCAACGCCTCCAAAGACTTGAAGGTGAAGCGCATCACTCCCCGTCACTTGCAGCTGGCCATCCGTGGTGATGAGGAGTTGGACTCTCTGATCAAGGCAACAATTGCTGGAGGAGGTGAGCCGGCAGTTTTACAGATGAATTTCCGATTTGCTTTGCCCTTTGTTTTTCAGGTTCATCAAAGTTTATGTGCATCATGGATGCTCCCTAGTACCGCGGTGTCCGTTTGCTTAGCTTATTCTGTACACATTTGTTTGGAATATATATCTGCAGATCACGGCTAACATGATATTTAATCTCACCGATGCTTTTCTGTTTTTCAGGTGTCATTCCCCACATCCACAAATCCCTCATTGGGAAGAAGGGTCAGCAGAAGACTGCATAGATGCCATGTCGACCAGAAATATCGGGGCTTTGATTGGACCAGGAGTTCACATTTGTTCTTTTTTATTATTATAGCAAAAGAAGAGTGATTGTTAGGCTTTGTGTTGTAATATTTTCCCATAACTAGAAAAAAGTACAGAAAATCCCTTAACAACAAAAACCCTTTGTATGTTATAGTAGAACGTTTGACTGGGGAGTTCTTGATTATTTCAAATGGTGACAGTGAATTTGTTTGATTGGCCTGGGACTCTGTAATGTTTTGTACTGAAAAGAAATTGTTAAAACCATTTTTTATATAAAAAAAACTTGTTTTGTGGTTATTTTTCTTGAAGTTACAATATTTACTATAATACAAAATTTTAAGGAGATAATGTTTTGGACAGCAAACTGGGTAACAGCTAATGTGAGATGGTGCTTTTTTTTCCTTTTGACTTACTGCAATATTTTGAACTGCACAAGGATAGTGATGTATTAAAAGTTGAATTTTTTTTTTTTTGTACTTCAAAATGAAAAGTCGTTAAAAAGAAGTTATTACAACCTTCTGCTACAGTGCTTTGTGTTTGTTAATAGCAGTTCAACAATGTATTAAATGTAAGAGTGATCCTCTGCTGCTGTGATCAGACACTGATCCTGCAGTTTCTGCCTCACTGTGGAGCCGTCTGTTAACTACATATCACTACTATATCGTTTGTACCCTGATATTTGGAGAAGATCAGTTAATGATTGAAAATCTGACCGATCTGAACCACATTGGTGCTTTTAAAATGTACCCACAATTTCTAAATGTATGAACAAACTGAATTGACCTTAAGTCAATTTCAAGTGAAAAAGTCAGAGCCTTTTTAAAAAGCTATGTGTTCAGGGAAATTACTTTGCGTATTTTATCTTTGAATAAATACCCATTGCATGTTGTCTTTTGCTTGGTTTGAAACCACTGAGATTATTTTTGGAGTTTATAAATCTTGTATGTAAGATGCTATGACTGTCCAACAATACATGATCAAAACTGAAATGTTTTTCAGTTTGGTTTTTAAATATTTACATTTCAAGAAAAATTCAAGCGAAGTTGGTAATTTAATAGTTTTTCTGCATTTTGCATAATTGTTGAAAAGTGAAATCACGTTAACTTTAATATGCATAGTTTAACTAAGCCAATCAAAGCTTCATTTGGTCACCTGCCCATAAATCATGAATTTGGCATTTCCCACGATCGCCACAGAATTAGTGCTGCAGGTTTACGGCCTGACAGCAGGGGGAGCCGCCGACATTCACAATGTCATCCCATTCCTGTTGTGAATGGTTAATTCAAAGATTAACAGCATATAATCTTCTCTGAGCCAGCCAGATCTACACCAGAAATGCATCAAACTGCGCAAACATGAAAAAAAGTAGATAAAATTCAGTGAGTATAGGAGATTTGAAGAGAAACTTAGTGTTAAAAAGGATTCATGTAGACCATATTTCTGAAACATTAGTTTAATGCAGCATAAAGAATACATTACTGGAGTAAGATGGATATAAAATATAACTTTATACTCATAGCTCAAACTGCCTTTTAATCACTTGTTTACAATATTGCACTGGAACGGCCTAAGAGATAAAGCATTTCTCCACATTGTGATCACATCTCATTCAGTTTTTATTATGTATCTGCTGCCTCCAACACTTCAGTGAAGCTAGAGAACACTTATAAAATTATTAATTTTCATTAAGCTACAATCCACGATGCCAACATTTAATGGCTACACTATTTGCAAATGTTACACATTTGTGCATCATGTAAATTCATTTTTCTGCTATTAAGCATGACTGTATAATTTATAAACGCAGGGATCATGATCTGGATTTAAAATGAAGGTCTAACATAGGTTGTGAACATAATTTATTTTAAAGAATAAAATAAATAAAAGGCTCTTGAAAATAATGTGGAAACAGCAGTACTCGTTGAAAAGTGGATTTGGTGTTTCTTCAGCAGTCTGCAGCTTGTGTATCCTACCACTATGTCAATATACAAAACTGAGTTTTATTATATTAATATTTCAAGATGTGTTAACTCGTCAGAAAAACTTTGTCTATGTCTAATGACTGTATATATCTCATATTGTTAAATATAAAGCACACTAAAGATTCAGATTCACTTTATTAGCCATTTGCAGTATAAAACCACATTGGAATAGAATATGCAAGAAGCTCAAAGTGCAATGTCACCACATAAAAAGACATAACATAAAATAGACAAGCAAATGCCACATAAAACTCAGTAATAAAACACTATACAATAAAATCCATACATCCTTTGTTTAAAGTGATCACAGTTTGGGGAAAGAAACACGCACACACACCACACACAAGCTGATACAAAGGTAAAAACCCTTTCATAGTCAAACAGGAAGATGG